ATATGCTTCAAAACTACACTTAACGTGCTTGGAATATGCACTTAACGTGCTTGGAATATGCACTTTACGTGCTTGGAATATGCTCTTCTATTTATGCATTTTGAAGCTATATGCTTCAAAGTTACACTTAACATGCTTGGTATATGTAGCTGTATGCTTGAGATTATTGAATTACATATATGGATATTATTTATATTTATTCTTTGCATGTTTTCATGCGTAAGGAATATATATATATATATATATATATATATATATATATATATATATATATATATATATATATATATATATATATATATATATATATATATATAATTTTGCATACAGTTACTGACTCAAAATAATTTTATTATTTCTCCAGTGGTAGATATATCTTATCTTATGGAAGTTGAGTTTTAAATCACAGCAACTTCCATGTAACTTCTCCAAACAGATATATTTTTCATCTATAAATATATTGGAGAAACATCTGAAAGGAACAATGCAATTTACATGCATATTTTACAAGCAATTATTTTGCAGGAAACGCACATGCTTACATCTCTACAGGGAATTCTCAAACAAAGCAACTTGAGAATTTAATTCATCTTCTTGTATCCCATAAGATTAAATCTTGAACCTTGTTGCTTTTATAGAGGGAGATTTAAAGCTTATAGGAAAGTGATTACACGCCTGAAGATATCAAATGATCCAGTTTTTGTTCCCTGTTGTATTCTGTATTATTGTTGTATCTCAAATGTATTACAGAGTACAAGCCCTTTTTCAAACATCTCATAATTTGAAGACCATGGGTGTACAATTGTTGGCGGCTTTTGTTGGTTGGACTGTGAAACTATAGCTTCAGCTTGCAAAGCCATATTGTAAGCCTCATCTACGGACCAAGCATGATTTTGGCTCATCTTTTCCTGTATGGCACATCTCAAACCATTTATATAACGAGCAGCTTGTTGTTCCGAAGTTTCAAAGAGATTGCAACATGCCCCTAGCCAAAAGAACTTTTCAGTGTATTCAATGATACTCTGGAATCCTTGGAAGCAATTCTGATATTGATTAAACAAATGTTGTTGATAGTCAGGTGGTAGAAATCTACTCATCAAAAATTTTCTCATTTTCCTCCATGATCTTACTGGAGATTTCCCTTGGTATCTCCTATTATTTTGCAGCATATCCCACCAGGCAGAGGCTCCTCCTCTCAGTTTACACGCAACATATTTGGCTTGCTTGTCATGGGAAATTTCTAGCATGTCTAAATAGTGTTCCACTTCAAAGCACCAGTCCAAAAAGGCTTTTGTGTGCACATTGCCATTAAAAGTGCGTAGCTCAAGATTTGGATGGTAATGGAGATGCGGTCGATGTCGATTTCTACTCACGTGCTTTGCCGGCAGATTCCAGTCATTGATAATGTCCGGAGTTGCACCATTACCTTCTAATTGAAGATTTATATTTGCAAGAATGTTACGAATTTCTTGAAACTCGTGATTAGCATTCTCACTATATACTTGAAAAACTGCCCGAAGGTAATCCATTCCACGGTCACCGCCGAAGGATGGGTTGTTACCCTTGTTGTTGATATCGCCTTGTGCCATCTTGGGTCGTGACAAGTGGAGAGGGCTATGCCGCTATCTCGGTTGTCGCCTAGGAACTTGAGGCTCTGAATACCAACTGATGCAGGACAAGGAGAACAGGAAGAACACAAACACTAGAACTCAAACTCAAAGACTTTCAATTATATTCAACTTAAACATCTCAATACAAAAGTCTGTTTAAATAGACAATTAAGAAAACTGAAGAGTTGCAAATAATAAAAGCATGCATGGGAACTACAAAATAAACATAATGAGAATAATAACATTTAAAGCTAATTCAGGGATGTGACCATTTCTTAGACTTCATGTATGTGACCATTTCTCTACTATTTTCTCAATTCCTGTTCCGCATCACTTAGTAGTTTAGGAAAAAAAATAGTAAAAAATTAGCACAATTTATAGAAACTTTTAGAATTAACTTTTACAAATTCAAACTCCAGTTGGCACATTGACTTTTTGTGCTTCAATAGGTTGAAAAAGTGTGTATAAACAGATACTACATACTAATACTTGTTTTGCTATATATATAAGTTTTCTTTTTTAAGGTGTATTGTTTTCTTTCTGAAGGTGCCTTGTTTTTGTTCTTGAAGTGCGTGATTTCTTTTAAGGTGTGTGGCATGTGTGCTTAAGATGCGTTATTTTCCGTTTTCATGTGAGTTGTTTTCTTTTTTAACATGCGTTATTTTTCTTTTTAATGTGCGCCATTTTTACAATTTTTTTTCAAGTTAAACCACAATTCGCAATGATTCCATTACTAGAATTCTTACAATTGAGAACAACTTGAGACACTAAATGAAGAACAATCCAAAATATGTCCCTCTAAAGTAACCTTAACACAGATCAAAATGAAATTACTCATATCTCGTGCTGCACAGCCAAAATGTCTTCATCATCATCCCTATACAAATGGTAGAAGAACAGTGTCAGCTTCCTTAAGAGCTACCGGCACAACATTCCCAGCTTGTCGTGGAGACCAGGTCCGACCGCAACAACTTTCCCCGAGTTCAGTTTGGATGATTTGAGGATGCGCCTTTTTTTTCTTTAAATTTTCTTTGATCGAGCAGTTGATCTAAATTTGACAACAGTTCATATTTAACTCATTTTTCACTTGGAAACATCTTCGCGATCAAAATTACCATAGCTAAATATGTTGCCTTTCAAAATCTATAAAAATAGAAGACAATGAACCTAATTTTATTTTGTCAAACTTGTTACTCTGCAATTCCTACTATTTTTAGTTTCATTATGCTTTTAACTCACGAATTACATCCATTATTTCAACCATTTAACATTTCAAGCCTTTTAATTTTTATAATTTAAAAAAAAAAATTGCAAGGAAATTGAGGATCATTGCAAATTTTGTTGCAAAAATTGTGATGAATATAGGTTTCAATTGCAATTTTCATTATAAAAATGTTTCTTCCCAATTTTTTTCACCAAAATACAAAATTCATTCAATTGCAATGAGATCCACTTCGCTGCTAAGATAACCAATCAAACTCTTAAAACTACTAAGATATAAATTAAAGATTTAATTATTCCACTAAAAACATCTTCAATTCATTTACATCAAATATTCATATACTAAAATAGACCCTGCAAAACAATGAAAGGGGAAAAAAATGCATCAAAATTTTGCCATTCATGAACAGTACTATGCAAAATATGGTGCAATACTATTCCCACAAAGCAAAACTTTTACTATTTGGCATATTTATTGGAAGTAATTTGCATCAATTTTTTTGTCAATATGCCATTCTCCAATGTTAGTTAGAGATTATCTAAATCGTTAAATGGATGCCAAAAATTGTAGCCTTGAAGGTATAAATCCAAAAACATAACAATATTAAGAAACTAGATTGATTGATAAACATCAAAACTACTACTGCATCAATAGTTTACATCAATTTCTTACCGATAATCCTTAAGATTTACACCACTTCACTGGACAATAGATCTAATTTAAGAAGAACAAAAAATAAAGTGGGCACTACGTGAGAACACATTCAGAACGTACAGTTGAATAACCAAACCTTCTTCATCTTAATTAATTAAGCCCTCTCCCCGCGAATCCTCCTAGCGAGCTGCATATCCTTGGGCATAATGGTGACCCTCTTAGCGTGAATAGCACACAGATTGGTGTCCTCAAACAATCCAACAAGGTAAGCCTCCGCCGCCTCTTGAAGCGCCGCAACAGCGCCGCTCTGGAACCTCAGATCCGTCTTGAAGTCCTGAGCGATTTCCCTCACCAGCCTCTGGAACGGAAGCTTCCGGATCAGAAGCTCAGTTGATTTCTGGTACTTCCTGATCTCTCTCAGGGCCACCGTCCCCGGCCGGAAACGGTGGGGCTTCTTCACTCCGCCGGTCGCCGGAGCAGACTTCCTGGCGGCCTTCGTGGCAAGCTGCTTCCGTGGAGCCTTCCCTCCGGTGGATTTCCGAGCGGTTTGCTTAGTACGAGCCATTTCAACAATTGATTGAGAGAAGGAATGGTTTGTTTGGCTATGAACTGAGAGTGGAGAGAATTTTATAGCGAATTTAGGGCTGGGCGGGAGCGAAAAGAATTGAAATTTTCAGAGGTGTTTTGAAATTTGGGGATTTTGAAGGTGAATACGAGCCGTAGATTGATTGAAAATATTAATGGTCAGGATTGGGCATGAAATGGAGAGTCGGATAGTGATCCGCGTGAGGATGCTTAAGCCAATGATGTTAGGACGCATCACTTTTACTGTTTTATTTTTCGCGCTAGCTATGCTCCTGAAAACGGCTGCACAAAATTTTGCTATATATATGGAATAAAATAAAATTTTCCGAATCATATCTTCCGTCCAATTGTTATACCATAAACTATAATTTATATTTATATTACAAAAGATTTCATCAAAATATATGAGAACAAGTCTTTTCTTACGAACATGTAAATTACACTACATTGTATAACTTTAAAGAATGACTTATATGTATAACTTGATATTCATTGAATGATCTTCAGACTTAAATTGGCTTGATCTTCTAACATGTTTGGCATAGTCTTCATGGAGGATATTTTAAAAGTATTTTATTTTCAAAAGCAAACTATAAGTTTTCTCGAATCTTCTCAGGATGATTTTTATGATAAATTAGAGCTTCTATGTATTCCTCCAAGGCTAAACCCCAATCCGAAAGAGCATTTGGGAGGATGTGAATCATGGTAAAGGCTAGACATTTGTTCACTGCGTACAAGGAACCCCCTCACTTTGAGAGGTAGCTCCCACATTGATTATGTCTATTATTGATAGTTAGAGGATTGAACTATGATTGAGTGAACTTGATAGTGTCATGAGAATTGGACCTTGATACATGTATCATACCAATGATAAGTGAGAAAGGTAATTTGTCAATAAGAAGGTGCTTAGTACTACAAGCAAGAGATGTTATGATCTGTACTAGTTCGAATTGAGGGTATCGAACCATAGAGAAGAATAGAAAGATACTACTAAGTAAGAAGAAAAGTGTTTACGAAACACTCTAAAGATTTCACGCAAGAAGCGTAGAAGTTCAAAGCGTTGAGATTGAAGGAGTGGTAAGAACAGTAAGAATAAGAGAAGTAACAAAGAAACTTTTAGTTAGTGAATTCTAGTAGTTAGATTAAGCTTAGCGCCTTAGTTGTTTGGGTGCTTGTTTGGAACTCAGCTATTCCATTTCTTATTAGTATTCCAAGAGAACTCTTAAGCCAATTCTTGAAATTCTGACCATCTTTTCAAAAGCTTTCAATTCGTCCTGAGAAAATCCGTTTGTTCCTTCTAAGTTTCGGGACGAAACTTCTTTTAAGGATGGTAGAATGTGACAACCCAAAATTTTATTTTATAAATTCGGTTTTAAGAAATTCCAAAATAGGCATTTTTCACTCTATAAAAATTTTTGGGATGAAATCGGCGTTTGAATAAATTATTTTGAACCACTTTTAAATAAATTCAACACCGGGACTTATTTTGAATCTAAAATCCTAAATCCTCGGGTACATTGCGTACCTAGTTTTTGATCCGAAAGTCAATCCGAGTGAAACCGAGAGAAATCTGAGAAACCTAAACTGCGTGGTTGTCTAGAAAGTATTTTTAGAAAAATGTATTTTTGACCCCAAACTATTTAAAATCTCATTCCTAGACTATGGTCCATGTTGTAAGATAGACCACAAGCTTGCCTGGTATTTTGTAAAACTCAACCAAATTACTATTTTGCCATTAACCAATCATTGGTGATCTACCTAGGGTTTTGCACCCATATAAGTAGAACCATCTCATCTTGTTTCTCCTGATCCTCTTCTTTTTCCTCTCCATTTTTTGCGCTCTGTAGAAGAAAGAAAGCAAAGGCAGTAAGATTTCATCTCATCCCTTCATCTCTTTTTCCTTAAGCTAGCTTTCAATCTCTGAGATCTTTTCTTAGGTTGTGTGTTGTTTGTTTTGATTTGAGGTGTTTAAGAGGTGAAGGAAGTGGTGTTTGAGTAGAGTGGAGACTGAGATCCACACAAGAAAAAGAAAAAGAAGAGGAAACAACAAAGGTATAACCCCATGGATTCCCAATCTCTTTTTGACTCTGTGAAGTCACTGTTATGTAGTTAGAAATGAGTAGAAATGCTAGAACATTGTGTGTTTGAGCTATTAGATGACTTGTTGATGTTGTATAATGTGTTGATGATGTTTTGGAAGTGAAAAATTGTCTGAAATTGCTATACAGGTGAAGAATAAGCCTCTGGTGCACAACTCAGTGTGCACCAGTTAGAAGTCACGGGCCTAGCCAACGGCCCACGAGGGGAGCCACTGGCTAGAGCCGTGACGGGATGGCCCTAGGGCACGACACTAGGCAAGGGCTGTGGCCCTAGGCCGCCACCGGGCGGTCCTAGGCGGCGGGGCTCTTCTAGCCCCGCCACAAGCTCCGTTTTATTTTTTCTGTGCAGTAGCCAGGCCCTTGTGGCTCAGCTACGTGTCGTTTCAGACCGGGTGTCACGGGCCTTTGTGGCTCAGTACCTTGGGGTCGTCACGACGCACATTTGGACTTTGATTTCGTTGAATTTGGTTTAGAAATTAGCATTTTATGATAGAATTGTGAAGCAAATGTGTCACAGTAAGGTTCCAGTTCTTTGAAAATGAGAAGAGACTTGGTTTTGCCTATGTGAGCTGCTTGATACTATTTGATTGTTAAGTTGAGAAGCATGATCATTAATTGAATAAGTCTTGTTAGAAAAGCATGTCTAAGGTGTATGTTGTGATTCATAGAGATTATTTGTCAAATTCCAAGTATTAAAGTGTACAAAGCATGTTAGTCTTGAATGTTATCATCAAGAGAATAAGTCTAAGTTGATGTAGTTGAGTTCCAAATGCATGATGAATGATTGCTAAGTGTTTGATGAGGGTATTTGTCAGATTACGAATTTCAAGCATGATTATGTGCCTTTTGAGAGTTTACAGTAATATAGAATTGAAGTATGTTGCACAGTAAATTGCATTCCAAGCATATCATGTTTTAAAAGTGCATAAGTGGCCAACGTGAGCCTAAGTATTATTTTCCAAAACTCATGAGCGTGTGGAAAGTCATTATCTTGTTGCATGAAGAATTTGTTGAGAAGTTATGTGTATAAGTTTGCATAAGTAGAGGAGTCGCATGAGATATATATACTATCTATATAAGTGAGGTTTTGGAGAACCCGTTGGGACTATGTCCTTTCAGAGTAAAAGAGAAAGTAACGGACATTGCGATCCGACAGATTTATCATGTAACGCGGTATATTCCCACGTTACGAGGTTGGAGACTGCCCGCCAGGCTTGGAATCCTGGTTAGGGGGTGTGCACACTGAAAGTACGATACCTGATTCCACAGAGAGAGCAAGCAAGAAAGAAAGATAAAGAACCAAGAGAGTGGTTCTGTGGGCGAGTTGAGTATGTGGCCGGCTAGATTGCCTAGCTGGTTAGGTCCATTCACGATTCGTGAAGACCTACCTCCCCACGAGTTAGAGGTTCCGTAGCTACGGATGTGGCGGATGCACGAGATTGCAAGGGCTTCGTTGCGGCGGAGTACCTGCCTCGCACAAGAAGAGAAACGAGAAGTATGAGAAAGTTTGAGAAAGAAAGAAATCGAGTCAAGAGACTCAAGAGAAAGAAAGTGAGTCATTGCGACTCTAAGAAAGAAAGAGCAAGCGAGTCCTTGTGGCTCTAAGAAACCTCCACAGAGAAGTATTCTATTTACCAAAGAGTGTATAAGTATACTTATCATATAGCATCTTATTACATTTGAGTATAGTTTTGCACGAGATTGCATATCGAGAATGGTCGCATTAGATTGCATATTGAGAATGATTACCCGAGATTGTATTTTGAGTATGATTGCCTTAGTTGCATATTGATGTATGATATTTCTAGTTTGCATGATGAAAACTTGAAAGCATGAGAATAATTTCTTATTAATTGATAGTCCGAAATTGCTTGATAAGTTTATGTGTTAGCATGAGATTGTTATCGAAATGTTATGCATGATTGAGATTTGCTATGTTAAGTATGCGATAGTATGAGCATGTTGTTAGGTTGATATCGTTGAAGTATGCCTATATGATATTTTAGGTTGTGAGCATGTAGAAAGCTTTGTGGTTTATATCAAGGTTTTGCCTAAGTGATTGAGATTGCTTAATTTGGGAATGTGAACAGATGTTTTTCCAAAGTATATACTGTAGTATTTTACAGGGTTGAGTGGAGTTATACTTAGCTTCGTGCTAACGAGTATTTTCTATTTGTCTATTTGCAAAACCCCTTTCAGGTGGGGCCAGCTCTTGAGAGTGCTCGAGTTAGACTAGTGTAGTTAGTTGCTATGTAGTCTAAATTCTTGATCTATTATTGTTGTTTTTGAGTTTATAGATGTAGACATCTTTCGTTTTGTTGGTGATAGACACCAGGGGTACTTTTCCCCAAGTTACTTTAATGTAGTGAGTTATGAATGGTTAGTTTCTTTTGAGCATGTGCAGTCACCGTGTATGGTGATTGTGGCGGTGACACTCCTTATTCGATGATTAGTAAATTAATGTTATTGATTAGTTGCTTTATTTAAGTTAAGTATTTAATTATAAGGTTTTAGAAATATGGGTTGTTACAGGAGGACTGATGAGCCGAGGATGGTATGTTTGGCTCATGATTAATGGATAAAGTAGGCGATGAGGACGAATAATGAGTTTGGGACTTTACGCTTGGTTCCGGTTGGATTTGTGAAGGATGATGAGGTACTAGTGATTCATATTGGTTTGAGATAGATGTAGTGAGTGATATATTTGGATTAGGAACAGGTAAGGTAGCACATCGGTTGTGGATAACCATTGGTCGAGTATTGATGTAAGCACGAGAGTGGGAAGTATCACAGTTCGTATTTGAATCTATTGAGACATGATGTGGTATTTGCACTTTAAAAAGAAACTCATTATCGACAAACTTAACATGATGTGACAAATACACTCGTCCAGTACTCGAGTCTAAACACTTGTATGCAGACTGAGACATTGAGTAACCTAAGAAAACACAAGGTTTAGAACGAGGTTGCAGCTTAGTGTTTGTATATGGTCTAGGTGGTTGCCATAATTGTGTTTATAACTAGTTTTGCAGTAGAGATTATTATTTTTCAAAAAGCGTGCCAACTTTCAACAGTCCCGTGTCTCATGACCTATGAGATGACAAAAGTTGCACACAATCGTATTTTGGCCTGTATGCGGTTGAGATTGATTCGGCCATCCTTGGCTGAAGGATGAATTTCCATTATTGTTCTGACGAGTTGCACCAGTTAGAGTATGGTTATTATTTGTTGATCGTCCAGATTGAAATTTTCTCCTCTGCATGAAATTTGCTGTAGCAAGAAGCGTCTGTTGGGTAAAGTTATTTTCATGTTATAACCTTTCAAACTCCAACAATACGTCAAACATTTATGCGAAAGAAATTGGTGTTTCGGGTATCCGTAGAGCAGGAACAACATGATTGAATTCATTTCCTACTTGTGAGAGGACATGAACGACAAGATCTTCTTCACTAACTAGATTATGTGCTAGTGCAAGGTCATCGGCAATTGAACTCATTTCTTGTAGATAATCGGCACCTGATCTGCTGCCCTTGGGATTTTTCGCTCGTTTAGCTTTGAGTGACACTATTCGTGAACGGGAAACACTAGCATAACTGGAGTTCAATCGCTTCCATGCATGCATCAGACGATGTGGATGCAGAAGATAATGGGGGGTTGAATTTTATTGGAGTAGCTGCCTAAGATGGCACTGATTAATATTTGGTCTTGTCGGAACCATGTCGTATAGAGTGGATTAGTGACTTTGCATTCTGTATCAAGGAATTGGGCTGGTACAATGAGTGTATCATCAATATATCCAACCAAATCTAGTCCAGTGAGAGTAGCTGTAATATGTTTGCTC